TAGCCCAAGCTGCCACACTTCTAAGTCACTATTGGCTTTCTACACAAAGCAGGTTTGTGTATCCCTGACAAGCTGTTCCACTGTGTCTATGGCCAAGCTATCGATGTAAAAAAAAAAAAACAAGATTCCGGCGGACCAGTTTGCACATACCAAACATACCAGACGGGACAATAAAGTTGCAAGAACTCAAACATGGCGCTGTGTATGTGTGCTTCCGTGTAACTTTTTTCTCCCGTCTGGGCGAGCTGTATCACTAAAGAAGGCATTTTTTTTAATCTCTGAAGAATTATAACATTGCTCTCAAACATCTCTTATATCCACTTGGTGAATATTCGGGCGCCCTGTACAAGGCATGCAACGAGGAGACGAACTATACACACATACACATATCGCATATTAAATATGACAGAAAATACAGACGATAAGGCATCTGCATGTCATAGTTGAACAATGCAAGCTCGATCCACAGAGAAAACCAAAGATGCAATCTTGAAATACAACAAACGATCCGGAGACATATGTAGTAACAGTTGATGAGTAGTGTTACATAATTTTGTAATTAAGTATCTATCTCATTATTTAATTACAAAAAAAATACACGTTCCTATATCTTTCGTTGAAAGAACAGGCGTCGCGTTGCCATGCATGCTCAAGGGTTTGATTCCGGAACCGACATATTGTTGGGGGGAGGGGGGAACGAAATACAAAGGCATTTGTCGCGAAATATGGGTGCAACATAAGGGGTGTGACAATATCGCAAAATCGCGATTGCTTTGCTATTCGTTGGGTGGTTCTCAATCTAAATAGCATCGAACTTTCTAAGCACGAATGTTTCGAAGTGGTAGCATAACCCGAACGAACATGGTTGGCGGCAAACATGCGACAAATTTCACAGCAGCATCAGAAACGCTCAGATGAAATGAATCATTCACGCGTTGGTGAGTTCTCTGCATCCGTCGAATCCGTTTTTTTTTTCTTTTCTGCGCTTCACTTGAGAAGATGAATATCGGGTTGTAAGCATCCGTTGATAGTTATCTTAAAAACAGACATCCAGTTTTTGTAATATATTCCATTCCCTCTCGGACATCGTTATTCATCATATCCCCGCCAGTCAATGTAATCTGGAAATCAAAGTACTGTGACAAATCCTCACAAGCAGATCGCGGTACATGACACATGACTCGATACCACGATATAGATACGGAAAACGGCAAAGGGTCAGGAAAATTCGTCATAAAGCGATGAAAGCCTTTCAGCGCTTCTTTGAAGATATATGTGATGACAACTGCATTTGGGATCACTTGTGGGCCTCATGCTCGTATGGGCCATAGAGAAATGTAATGTTTTAAAACCAGAACCACTGAGTGCACCAAACGCAATGCTTTTTTTTTTTCAATCTTTATTTCCCTTAGCCAACCCCCCCCCCCTCCTTGCCACCCCTCAAAACAAAGAAGTAGCCATCGCCATGAAATGGCGCCAACTCCTTCATTCTATTTATTTCAATAAATAAAAAAAAACATTTGGGTGTAACAGATCATTGAGGGAGTCCTTCACTCCACAGGCGGAGAAAATAGAATGAAGGAGCCTATGATTAGCTTACGCGCAAAGCTCAAGCGTTTAACTACCACAAATTTGCATACTTTATAAAGAACGGAGTGCTAAGCATATTAGGATTCGCTCTGAAATGCCCCGTGTCGGCACCGTCCGTCATGACTCATTTTACTGACGAGCGGCAACTTCCCGCACAAACAGAAAAATCGAACACGCAGCAAGAAAGCCAGCAAATGATTTTTTTTTTAATTGTGGGAAGGGGGATACATCTTCAGGCAAGTTCAACTCAAGGGTGGTGACGAACTCACATCACTGTAACCAATCAATCAGTTTATTATTATCATGTCATAAACGGATGTTTATGACATGATAATGACACGGATGTTAATGACGCGGATGATAATGACACGGATGTTTATGACCAGTAATCCCAATGCAGTTACCTCCTCTCCATATACCCTCGCCACGCTTTCAGCTCATCACGTGACTGCAGAACAGGTTCTCTCCTTCGTCACCTCCTCGAGAATGAGAGAAAAGGAGGCACCTCGTTCGGGTCCCACCTTGCCCATTTGTTCCCCGTTTACCCTCTCTGAGCTGCAAGAGAATCTCTGGAAAACCTCATTGGCCGACTCCTCACGGACAGCATTCGACTCTCTCCACTTCCCAGCATTCCCAGCGAAACAGGGGTATATTGCCAGCGACAGGCAAAGCAGGGGAACATTTGAATCGCAACCGTCGTAGTGACCAAAAGTTCTCTCCACAAGCAGCAGGTAAGTTTGAAGGCCTCCTACCTCTCTTTTTTTTCTCGAAGTGTCGTAGAATGGTTTTTCTTAAGCATTGGCTATGTGTATGTCGGACTTGTTTGAACGTGTTCGAGCCGTTTCTTTGTTGGGTGTCTGTGAGACGTGCACCGCGCCGTCGCGTTGGCGTTTGTAAGAACAATTGTGTGCGTTTAATCTCACTAGTAAGCCTATTTTTGGCAACCTTGCCGTGCATTCAGAACGACGTTAGGGGATATGTTGGAAGCGACCTCCGTTGTATCGCTTAGTCTATGCATCAGCTGTTTTGCTGCCATAATTGGTGCATTTGGGCCAGGCGCGTGTTCACGCGTTGTTAGTTATAGTTCATTTGAAAACGAATGCCACAATAGATACTGAATGGTGCTTCGGCATTGATAATGGCTCCTTTCTTTAACAGCTTCGATAGAAATACGCCTTTGTGAGCTTTTCATCGTGCACTTGCGCATGTATTTAACCCTTTCAGATGCCATCTTAGAAACTGTATGTAGATGTATCAAATCGCTACAAGGTTACTTGAAGGCACTCAATATTCTATCGCAACAAGAATAATGAGACAATTGTGAATTTATGTGTGTTACAATGACTCATCCTAACTGGGTTGTGACTAAATATCTCTTCACCCTGAAGTTATATATGCTTACTTTAGAGATGCTTACTATAGAGCATAAGGTAATTTTTTGTTACGTCCGTCTTGAGCAAAGGAAAATTCTGCATTTGACGTGGCTTCCAGGAAACTGCACGTCGCACGACTCGTCGATCGTGGTAGTGCCTTCAGGAAAGTGATCATAAGTATCAATACACTGAAAAATTAGGTTAAATGAAGACAAATTTAGTCTGCAGGAGGTTCAATTCACCAAAAAAAAACGATATATCTTGCTCTTCCTTAGCCTCTACTTGACGTAAATAGCAAAAAAGAGTGGTGTACACAGTTGTGTACATCATCATCATCAGCCTGACTACGTCCACTGCAGGAAAGGCCTCTCCCATGTTCCGCCAGTCAACCCGGTCCTGTGCTTGCTGCTGCCAATTTATACCCGCAAAACTTCTTAATCTCATCTGCCCACCTAACCTTCTGTCTCTCCCTAACCCACTTGCCTTCTCTGGGAATCCAGTTAGTTGCCCTTAACGACCAGCGGTTATCCTGTCTACGCGCTACATACCCGGCCCATGTCCATTTCTTCTTCTTGATTTCAGCTATGATATCCTATATCCTTAACACGTTGTACGGTTGTTTTGTGAGGCATTCAAATGTGCCACGTGTTTTCCGAGACGTCTAATCGGCATATCAATGCCCAATCCGCATATGAATGGACGTGATATTCTCCTTCGTTAGTGAATCACGGAGCCGCGTCCAATGTTAGCGTCTTTACTAGTTGTCCCAAAACGCTTTTTTGTGCTTGACATCAAAGGTCCTTAGCACTGACCACGGAGTAAGCATGGTCACGAATGACAGCCCTTCTGCAGGAATTGACTCGGCACAATGCTTCCCCTAATTTCCACACAATGCTTCCCCTACTCGCCACGTCTACAGCCGTTGCGAGAAGCTTTCGCTGAGGGCGAGCTGTATTTCGAAGTCTCCGGCCCTTTCAATGAAGCAGGCATGCACGAGCTTGCTGTGTTCTGAACTTTTTTTTTTCCAAGCGACGTTAGTCCTAACTCTCCTGCAACTCTTTGTTCTTGCAGTTCCTCGAATCCACCATGAAGTTCGTTCTGATGGCGCTCGTCGCCGCCGCCCTGGTCGTCACCGGGACCAGCGGCACCATGCTGAAGCTGCTGCCGGCCGTCAAGGCAAGGCCTGCTCCGGCACGTAGACCAGCTGCGCCACATCGAACACCACGTGCCCAACTGGAACTTCCACGCGCCCCAGCAGCGTCCAGTGGGCGAAGCCTTCTTTTCACGGCTCCTTCAGTTACCAGGCGAGCGCTAACGGCGGTCTCCCGACTGCTGCCGTTGCCTTTCTTCCAGAAGCCCCGTCCCTCCATCATACTGGTACCGTGCCGCGACGTCAGGGCCCCCCACCACCCTACTTCGCTTTTCCCTGCATCAAGGTCATCCGCGGGAACGAGGTGCCGCACGCAGTATTCGGATCTTCGCAGGCCGGCGCGGACGCCACCACCGACGGACTCCTGACAATCACGCCCATCTACGAAACGGACTCGACCGGAAAACAGCACGGTCACGGTTGTGGTTCAGCGGGCCTGCAGATACCATCACGTCCCCAACGACATCCGTCACCACAGAGGCGACGACGACACCCGCGACTGACTTCACGGCGACGGCCGACCTCGTCACACGTGCCGATGACGTCACTACTGTTAAGGAATACACCACCACCTGGCGCCACCACGGAGGAAGCTTCTACAGTAGGAACCCACCATTGAGCGCAAGGCCAACACGATCCCAGCACAGACAGACACCCCGACCACCACGGAGCAGCCACTGTCAGTCCCCTCTTCTCACTTCAACGACCTCCTGAAGAACAGCATGTTCGGGAAGTTGAAAGAAGCTTCGACAGTGGACCGTAAGGCCGATATCGTCCCAGCGCAGAACCTGACCACCACGGAGCAGCCGCCGCCAGTCACTCTCTCTCGCTACCACTACCTTCTGATGAAAAAGTATAAGGAGCAGTAAATTCGCGTAGGCACAGGATGGTCTTTCGAAGGCGTGTGCAGCGTTATTTATTTTCCAATGTACATATGTAAATAAAACAAATTTGAGTTTATCTACAGTTGCTTGGGAGAAGGTGGATCCATATTGCTGAGTCACTTCTTTGGCTCAGCGGCTTCGTTCACGTCACGATAGTCAACTTTGCAGGTCGGCAGGAACTCGTTGAAATGTTTCAAAATCTCTTCACGGTCTCGAACTCCGGGCAAGTCGAAAAGCTCCAGGTAGCGCAACTTCCTAAAATGGAAAAGAAAGAGTACAGCCCACTTCAGGTCCGTAGCCGAGGAGGCCGGGGGGGGGGGGGGGGGGCTCATTTCCCAAAATTAAATTTCTCTGAGGGGGGTGAGGAGCTTTTCTAGGCGACTTGGTTCATAGCCATAGGCACCCGGCAATGCAGCTTACGAGATTTGGTGGTAGCGCCAGAACACAGCCTAGCGAGTAGGCGCAGCGAAACCGAACTTGCACGTACACTCTACCCGCTTAAAGTCTATTTTGCCCTCACTGTCTCTAAACCCCAGTGCTTTGAAAAACTCTGCGCCATCATCCTGAACTATAGGGTGAAGCCCTTTACGCAACCTTATCAAGTGTTTGGCAGTTTCCTCCTCCTGTCCGCATGCACTACATACCGTGTAGTGCATGCGGACAGGAGGAGGAAATACCCCTTCGTATTTGGCCCGATATGTCTTACACGACATATCGATGCTTTGCACGAAAATGGCCTCTGCCGACGATGCTACCACTGACAGTGCTACCATCTGACAGTAGCCTGGTTTCTGCACATGCTGATGTTCCCAGATGGTACTGTTTATCAATGTCTATGTTATCAATGCGTGCAGCCAGATGCGGCCGATTCGACATAAAGGATGCGTTGTCCGAGGCAAGGCAGAACATATTAGTACGACCGGCAAAAGACTCATCTTTTCACGACATTTGCAGCGAAGCGCGCAGATACGCGGCCGTTTCCTTATATAATAAGTTCTATTTAATCGAAACAGAGAATGGAGGCACTAGGTCAAGTTTAAATATAAAGGAGAAGTTTTTTTTTTAATTTGTCAAACCACGTGGTACTCTTGTCACCGTCCCGTTTTAAAGGAGACGCTCATCGCACCTATTCATCCGGATTTTTTGTACGCTGTACACTAACCACTCCTCAACCCCGTTCAAAAAGTTTTGCTGACTCCCTGGGATTAAGAAAAAAGACCACTCAATTTTGGTCTTAATGGTCAGTATTGCTCTTTAATTTTTTTTTGGGGGGGGGGGGGGGCGAATGGTCTTTGCTTTCAGCATCATTGGTTCAATAAAACCACCACGTCATGGCTTTGCAGCAGTTCCACGTCCGCAGCTGCACCTTCCACTTGCTTTGGAGTGGTCGCTTTTGGTTAATGACCTGTTGAGCTCTCAATAAATTTCGAACTCCACAGCATGGCTTGCGATATCTCGGAGGCTATGTCCGCAGTGTATTGCCGTGACGTCATCCGCAAGGGGCGCCAGCGCAACAGTCGCCATACTTGTGGTCTCACTGAGAACATGATCATCGTACCACCAGAGTCCTGTGGTTCTCGGCAGCACGTCATCATCATCAACAGCCTGACTACGTCCACTGCAGGACAAAGGCCTCTCCCATGTTCCGCCAGTTAACCCGGTCCTGTGCTTGCTGCTGCCAATTTATACCCGCAAACTTCTTAATCTCATCTGCCCACCTAACCTTCTGTCTCCCCCCAAACCGCTTGCCTTCTCTGGGAATCCAGTTAGTTACCCTCAATGACCAGTGGTTATCCTGTCTACGCGCTACATGCCCGGCTCATGTCCATTTCCTCTTCTTGAGTTCAGCTATGATATCCTTAACCCCCGTTTGTTTCCTAATCCACTCTGCTCTCTTCTTGTCTCTTAACGTTACACCTACCATTTTTCTTTCCATTGCTCGCTGCGTCGTCTTCAATTTAAGCTGAACCCTCCTTGTAAATCTCCAGGTTTCTGCTCCGTAGCTAAGTACCGGCAAGATACAGCTGTTATATACCTTCCTCTTGAGGGATAGTGGCAGTCTACCTGTCATAATTTGAGAGTGCTTGCCAAATGTGCTCCATTCCATTCTTATTCTTCTAGTTCTTCAATCTCGTGGTTCGGCTCCGCGGTTATTACCTGCCCTGAGTAGACATAGTCTTTTACAACTTGAAGTGCACTATTACCTATCTCGAAGCGCTGCTCTCTTCCGAGGTTGTTGTACATTACTTTCGTTTTCTGCAGATTAATGTTAGGACCCACCTTTCTGCTCTCCTTGTCTAACTTCCGTAATCATGAGTTGCAATTCGTCCCATGAGTACTCAGGGGACGAATTGCAACTGATAAGCACGTAATATAATTAATAATATCTGGGGCTTTACGCTTCGGAAACACGATGTGATTGTGAGAGACACCGGGTCCGAAAAATTTCGACCCCCCGGGGTTCTCTAACGTGCACCTGAATATAAGTACACGAGCCTCAATCATTTTCGCCTCCATCGACAGTGCGGCCGCCACAGCCGAGACTTGGTCCCAGCGACCAAGCAGTCAAGCTCGGCAGCACGTGTTATGTTGATATTTCTCCTAAGAAAACGGGTTAGTGAGGTGCAGCGCCGCCAATAACACGCTGTCATATGTAGGATCGCTGAGGGACTCCAGCCAAGGGAGTGACATGCCCCCAGCATAGAGTTTCTCAAAATTAACTAGAGGGCACTCTGGCGCATGCGATCGTTCAGCGACCATGGGAATGATGGGTAGTACACACATTTGCCTAGTCTTCGTACTTGCGGGCAGCGAATCGTACTTGCGGCTTCGTTTATTGCTGCGTTTCGGTTTTGTTTTTAAAGGAAGATTGAATGCTTTTGAACTTCGTAAGCCAATTTGGAAAGTAAGTCTAAACAAATAAAATCGTGAAGCGCAACCGCTGAACATTTGCTAATACTTGTTTCGTAAGAAAACAGCTCCAAGCCACACGAACACACACGGAGCCAAAGGCAGGCCAGAAGTACGATTATTAGACAAATGTGTGTACTACCCATCATTCCCATGCTCGCTGAAGCGCCGTGCGTTGCAGCTCCCGTAGACACTAGCGCCAGAGTTCTCTCTAGTAAGTATTGTGGGAAACTCTATGGCCCCCGGAGCCGATAGAAATGAAATTGGACGCGATGATAGCGCCGTCTGGATTCTGGCGGCAGTTGTAAAAAAATTGGAAAATCATTAGTTTACTTATAGCTGAAATAGGTTTTATTATCTCGTACACTCAAATAGCTTTTAAAAACGATTAATAATATTGCTTGTATAATTTATAGCTGCGTATAAAACGAAATAGGTTTCAAAAGCACAAGAGCGTTTCTGTATGACGTCTGGCATTCCGCATGGCAGACGACACCGTCGTCGTCTGCTTCTGCGTCATGCCTGTCCCTCGGTCGCTGTAGCAGCCCCTCTCTCGATTTCTCTCGTTTCCATATACTACACTGCAGTGCACTGCTTACTAGAACCTCAGACGTGCCTCGCACACTTACTCTTTAGTAAGTTGGTGATGCCGCATACAGGCCACGCGAAATGACAACGCTGACCACACAAACTTGCAGCAATAAATTGCTTTATTGCAAGTCAATCGATGTTTACATAATTAACGTTCCAGAATGCACAGCAGTGAACGCTATGCATGCATCAGCGTTTTTGCACGAACAAGGTACGTACTACGGATACACTGAACTGCACGAAACCTTCACTAGTGTAAGTAAATGTACACCGCTAACGTTCCTGCACTTTCTGTCGCTTAAGATTCTCAAGATGTCAGAACACCTAGTTTTCCGTCAAACTTTCTGTAATTGATAACATATCCGCGTGCCTTTCACGAGCTGTCCGGCACGACTGTTTGTTTTCGGATTCGCGCTTATACCTAAAGTACGTCACTTTCCAATCTTCCACGCGCTCGCACTATTCATGCCTATTGATGCCTAAGATTAAATGAGAAGCAGTTTTTTATGCGTACCACTCTCAAGTCTTGAAAATACAATGCCCTAAAGCTTCTTTCGCAATTAAGATTCGAGGAGGTGTCCAACATCAGCGGAGGGAAAGGGGCGTTCATCACAGTGCCCCCTCTCCATTAAGTCAATGTACGGGGCAGATTTTGCGCCTCCCCACTCTCTTGTATGACAAACTAAGGAGGGCGGTCGACTCTTTCCCCCCCTCCCCCATCCTCGTGCAAGCGCATACGCCCCTGGGGTAAGGACTCGTGTCTAGGAGGATTGTCATTTGGAAAACTTACGCGAGCTCCGACAGAGACTTGACTCCGGCGTCTGACACGTTTCCGCAGCTGATGACCCGCACTTCTTCCAGGCTATCCTTGCGTAGTTGCAGCATTTGCAGCGCCTTGTCTCCGAGGTAGTTGCAGCGTGTCATGTTGATCGACTTCAGCCGAGTCAGGTCTTCTGCGAAGAGACAAGGGGCGGCGTCTCTGAACGAACTGTGCGCAGTCATGAATGTGTAAAAGGCTGATCCAGTTGGTTGTAAGTACGCGATCCAAGGAACATCGCAAAAAAATAAATTAATAAAACACGGAACACACAAAAGGGAACGCACACAACGATAACTTCAATTACCCGGGAGAAAGGTTGCCTAAAGCGTAGAATATTGGCGTGACTGGAATTGCCGTGCATCAGATTTCTCACATAACGGTGGAAATTTTACGTGGGTCAGAAGGGTCTTTGTGCTAACGATACAATAGGACAGCATGAATATAACGTAAAACGAGCACACAACGGTTAGTTAGCCATCCACGGTAGGTCATGAAAGCGCCGAGACTAAACACCATGATCGCTTAGCACCCGAAAGTGTCGAACCTCATCGGATTGAAAGCAGTTAGGGCACCACTGCGTCAGCATCCCGTCGATCGCGTTATCGCCCAAGCAACCGAATTACTTGAGTAAATGGTTTTTTTGTAATCTGAATAGTTGCAGTGCAGATGGTGGCTTATATGTGCTATGTCCCGTCACTCGGTACGACGTTAGCGGTTATCTTGTGAAAACTCGGCATGAAAGAGCAATACATTGTTTTCACACACACACAAACACACACACACAAAGTTTGTTGAGAGTCAGCACTGTGTGCGTTCCCTTCAAAGCCTTCCATGGGTTTTCTCGCGCTGTTCCTCGAAACAAGCTCCAAAACCCGGCCGGGACCTGTACACTGTCCTCCTTTATGAAAGGGAACACGCGAACGCGTGGCCTGCGCTCTGCAGCGGCTGCCTACAGCACCATCAACCGACAGCAAAAGAAAACACTTTCACTTTCAGCGTCATCTGTTGAAAAAAAAAATGATAATAAGGTGTCATGGCGGGTAGACAAGCGCTACTAGATTGCACTGCCTCTCTGCTCACGCCTATCGTAGTCCACTGCCAACATATCAAACGTTGTACGCGACCACAGCGCGAGCTGCAGTAATCACCTGATATCACTCACCACGCGTGCACGATGAGGGAACGTAATCTAGCAGCGCTTGTCTACCGACAATGACTCGTTATCCTGCTTGGCCATAGATGACGCCAAAAGCAAACGTGCTTTCTTCACTTGTCGGTTGATGGTGCTGTAGGCAACCGTCGCAGAGCGCAGGCTACGCGTTCGCGTGTTCCCTTTCATAAAGGAGGACAGTGTGCGTACTTAAGTAAGGAAAGCCGGCCGCCATAATGGACGAGTCAGTGGCGTCAATTTCTTCGATCCTGTAAGCGCCCGAGCTAGTCGACGGCAGCGTGTTGTAGTCGGTGTGAAACTTGACAGCTCCGCACCACTTCACGGCTGCTCCGCATCGAATGAGCCACTCGGCCGCTGCCCTGTCAGGCCCGATCTCCTTGATGCGGTCGGGGTCGTACCTGCGCGAAGGGAGCGGCGCCGTTGCATTAGTCGGGTTCACACTTGAATACGACGAGCATGGCAACTTTACATACCTGTTGAATACTCCGTTCAGCCACTGCCAGAACGATCGATTGTGGCAGTGCGCCGAATTCCTCGCGAATGACAGCTGTTTTGCGACCTGAGCGATATTCGATAGCGCGGCCATGTTTGTATGCGGCGAGTTCGTCTGCTAGTTGTCGACTAGGGCAACTAGGGTGCCTTCTAGTGTCATGTATGAGTACCACATAGTGTAATAAATAAGTATACTTACTTTATTGAAACAAAAAAAAACCTTAAACAAGAACACATATTTTTGTTAGTTGAGTATTAACCACATAAAAAATACCAGTTAAAGATCCTAAATAACAATACATGGTGGCGATGATGTTATTTACGGCCAAAAACATAGCCTTTGAGATTTGTACAAAACTAAATTTGTGCGCTTGAGCACTTAAAAACTGCATATAACTAATAAATTAGTATTTTTAAAAATATACTGTATATTTCAAAAATAAAACTGTTGCAGTGTATGCGTATATGTTTCAAAAATACTATTTTTTTTTTTTTTTGCCAAAACGAATGGTAAATCAGGTAGCGCGGCAATCGACATTCGTGTCTGTCGCTACCCGCTACAGTCGCTACAGTCGCTTCAGTTGTTTTTTCAATTTGCACGTGTGCTGCAGTGTTTCGACATCAACAAGTTGTGTGATTGTGTTAAAAATGGTTGTGGGTTCGTTCGTGCCTCCGAGATCAAGCCGATTCGGCTGATAACTCCCACATACATAATTTTCATCCACCAGTGCAACGGTTCAGCGCAAGGATCGATCATAGCCACAGAACACCTAACCAGTTCATAGCACGGGCCAAGAGAACCTCGGAGCATGCTGCTTCGCATGACGGGCTGTTCGTCAGACGAGCTCCGTCAAGCCGCGTTCGGTGATAGTTCGCGACCATATAAGCGTTAGCGATCATGCCTGTTCGCCGCGACGTACTTCGAAAGCAGGCGCGCGAGGGCATCTGCTACGGCGTGTGGGTGACCGCGGGCACGGCGCTCGGCTTGGGACTGTTGCAGGCGCAGGTGCGATACTATGGGGACAGATCGGTGCCCATGCTCGTGGCACTCGCCGCGGTGCTCGAGGTCACCGGCTGCAGCTGGATTCGACTCTTCGGCAGCCACTCATCGTCTTCGCACAACTACGGCCAACGGGGCAGAGTCGCACGCTCCGTGTTTAAGGCCGTAGCCAGCGTCCTCCTGAGCATCGTGTTCTTCCACGTCTTGGCCGTACTGTTCGGCGCTCCGTTGTTTGAGCAAGTTCACCACTTACTCTTTAAAGTAATATATGCAGTCGGATACAACTTACGAAGTCCGCAGAGGCCCCAGCCACTCAGACGAAGTGCGGCAGCCAATCGCCTTCGCGGCCAAAGAATTCCGGCTCGTGACGTCATTCCCGAGACCGCGCTCATTGGACCACGGTTGTGTTTATCCGCTTTTGACGAGGAAATGATGCGGACTTCCTAAGTTATATCTGACTGCATGGAGCTGCGGCTATGCCGGCATGTATGTAAAGACGTCGGGCTCTGGAGATTTGCGGACACATAGCGCCACCTGTCGACGCAGTTTTGGGTAGTGCAAGGCTTGACTTCTTTGCAGAGTTTGCTGTGTAACCAGGTGCAACTAAAGCGTATGAAACAACGACTGAATAAATATTAGGCGTATTTGTGCATTGAACACTTAAGAGCTACGAAGTTCTCTCCGCTAGTCGGACGCGTCACCGAACCTGTCATGAAGTGCTTGCTGGTTCACTCGCCAGAACGATAATGAAAACAAGAGCAGACCCAGCAGCTCCACGCTCAACGAAAAAAGACCCCAGTCAGCGCTACTGTTGCGTTGTAAATTGCTACGGACATAAATGACTTCAGTTTTACCAGTTTTTCGCAGCCTTTGCGAAGCGAAATGGCGAGAGTGCAGAATATGGTCTGTTGCTAACTAGTTGGGTAAGCCAATTAATCACGTTACCCACAGCCGTTCGCATGAGAAAGTGTAATAGTGTAGGTCTCTTGTTATTGTTTTGAGTAGCCTTGAGAGAGAACTGTGGTAAATTCTATTATGAAGCTTAACAGAGCCTCAGACCACGATGTGCGCCGTGCAGCAGTAGACAGGGGACGCGCGCGATAAACATCACACATGCCGCGACTGCTGGTAATCTGAAGTTGAAATGCAGCGTTATGCCTGAGGGTTTTCAAAGCTCTAAGTTCCGGCTTTAACCCAGAAATAGAAACACGTACGTCATAGAGGTAAATGGCAAAATGATAGTGACCACAATCAGTTCTTTCTTGCCGTTGGTCTCTGCGATTGCCAGAGCTATCTCAGATGCCTCGGTTTTGTCTTTCGTTGTGCACCGAGAGAGTGGACACGCATGTATCCCCATTTGCAGTATATACAAACAGGCGACAACCATCAACAGAACATTCTAGAGCATGCATAATAAAACAGTTCAACGCACAGGAAGCAAGAGATCGACGGAGAGTGCAACTGCAAAGGCGAAAATAGCCAGGGCTATTCGGGCTGGACGCCCCGCCGCGGTGGTCTAGTGGCTAAGGTACTCGGCTGCTGACCCGCAGAGCGTGGGTTCGAATCCCGGCTGCGGCGGCTGCATTTCCGATGGAGGCGGAAATGTTGTAGGCCCGTGTGCTCAGATTTGGGTGCACGTTAAAGAACCCCAGGTGGTCTAAATTTCCGGAGCTCTCCACTACGGCGTCTCTCATAATCATGTAGTGGTTTTGGGACGTTAAACCCCACATATCAATCAATTCGGGCTGGACAAAGTGAGCTTCGTACCACTTATCGAGAGGATAGATTGTTCTTGTATGCACTTCATCGATTTGGCATCATGTTCATGCCCAAGTTCAGCACATTTAGGCGTTAAAGAACAAACGTCTGAGTGCTTGCCTCGAACTGGACTGCATGCAAATCTCGCTTGCACTTAAAGTGCCAGTTGTAGTATGCTAAAATAACTGGAACATCTTCCCCATTGTACCCGCAGCTCGTTTTCATGGGCTTCCTCCTTTTTTGGAGCGAGGTTGGATTGAAGGAAGAAGCTTGCCAGGTCCCCGATTTTCAGAAAACTGCGCCTCAGGATCAACGAAACAGGAGGGCCTATGCACATTCGCATGCGGACGGCTCGCTTTGCACTACCCAATTATGGCCGGCGTGAGGGTGGTGGCGGCGTTTTTCACAGCGCCGCCTGGGCAGAGTTTGACGTCTATGGGATGTGTGCATATATACCTTTTCACTCAAGGCTCCCTGGGCGCCGCCATAGGCCTCTCTGGGCTGTTGTTAGTGCGCCTTACCCGTCGAAAAATGCACTGCCGTGGCTGGGACGTTGGCTTTTAAACTCTCGTGCAACAGCCCAAAAAGGAGGAAATCCTTTTCAATGTAAAAAAAAGGCCAGTAGATTCTGTTTATATTGAAAACATGTATGTACAGGATCTAACACATCTAATGCAAACAGTTTGTTAGTATTCAAGCCGCTAAACCTCAAATATGATATGTGGGGTTTAACCTCCTAAAACCACTATATGATTATGAGAGACGCCGTAGTGGAGGGTTCCGGAAATTCGACCACCTGGGGTTCTTTAACGTGCACCCAAATCTGAGCACACGGGCCTACCGCATTTTCGTTTCCAGCATGCCTCAAACTAGCAAAGAAAGCTAGTGTATTGAAAGATTTTGATACTATGATACACATGAATGACTGACGTGAAGCTTAGTGCATGACAAATTGTCAAAAGTTGTTTCCACCAGGTAATACAACAATCTGCGGTAAAACTTTTTCATTAAATAACAATAAGCACCAGATTGAATACACATTTGCTGACATTACTTCATCATTCATCTTTAAGGGTGTAAAGTTTCTGTTATTTCTTGCATTTTTGCTTTGGCGAATCCTTTGTAATTTTTTTTATTCTTTCTCATTTGCCTTTCTACTGCAGAGACAGCCAACAGACACTCTGGTTTGGTGTGCACATGACTGTGGTGACTATCTTACCACTGATACTATCGAGAGGCCACACAAGCTTGGGGGCCTTCCAGAGGACAATTGTTGACCAAAAGTAAGGCATGACTCACAATAGTTGGGGAGACTTACGCTTATAGCAACCAAAAAAACCTCAGCACACATGGCTTCAAGTTCAAATGTTCATTGACCAGGCAAAACTGGAAGGTCGCCAAGGCTAAAAGCCGTGAGAACGGCTTGACAAAGGCCCTGGTGACCTGTACATGCACGTGGCAGTAGCGCGAAATGATGACAAGTACATAACATGCAAGTAGAATAGAAAACATGAACAATACATACTAATTCAATAATTACAGGGACCATACGTGCAACCATTAAAGGACTCTTAATGCTCTAAAAATTGAGCTAGAGTGGCTTTCATTCTCTTATCCACTTCTTGGTAAACACTCTGTCTTAGTGACTCCCCACAAGGATGATCCAGTTATCACAAGCAAATTCAGCCAAAAAAGCAGAGCATGGTGAGACTTGAAACCAAGTGGAAAGGGGTAGCTTATTTGTTTATCATTCCACTCGCACGTTACAGTCGAGCGAAGCCGAGGCAGAAAGTACTGCCTGGGATTAGACCAACCACCATAGCACTCTGTTCAGCTGTAATGCTGCATTCGCCATTGAACAACGAAGTGTGAGATCGCCAGCATGTGCACTGCATTGAAACTGGCATTGAAACTGCTTAATGTAGTTGGAAAATAGCATTACAAGAGATAAATTTAAAAATTCAGATGAAAGAACTACCTCGCCTTTTGTGTGTTGTCATTCATGTGAAGACCAACCGAAAGAACTGAATGAACCCATATTAACCTCTAGCCCGTACTACCACCTTGTTGAAGAACCTTAATGAAAACCAGGAGATAATGATGTCAAGGAAGGTATAATCTTGACATTTAACTGTATTGTTATAATTACAGTATAAATTTGAGGAAAGTAAAGTGAACGGACAACTTTCCACTAGCAGGAACCGTACCTGAAACTTTGGATAAGTCTTCTAATGTTCTACCAATTGATCTATAGTGGCTTTCTCTTGTCCACTTTATTGGGTATTTATGTGCATGCAGACCTGGGAGTGTTAGCGCCGCTTATACTCTTTGCTACTTCTCTGCAACATGCTATACTCATTGCTACTTCTCTCACAATATGGGAAATGGAAATTAGATTATAAATTTCGGCTTTTCAGGAACTAGATACATAAACAAAAACGTTTGCACTGATGGCCTTGTAGCATGTTAAACCTCTGCGAACTTGCTACACAGGCCTCATTCTTCGGTGTAGAGTTTCATAAGTAGAAATTTCTCGACATGTGATCGGTTGGAAGGGCCTGAGGCAGCATACGAGCTAATGCAAAGGGTCCAGAGCTCATATCAGTGCAAAAGAGAAGCGGGAACAGAAGAGAAGGACACGGGGTGCTGACACACAAGCGCTATGTGTTCCCTCTTGTCGTTTGTGCCGATATGCACTCTTTATCACGTTTTACCCACAATTCAATCCTACAGTATTCAAAGTGAAAAGGTGGGGCTCATTAGCAGATGACGTGGGCCATGGCCGCCCCTGATTTGTTTTGTGTATGCACTCAATCTTCGCTGCTTCCTATGCATGGTGCTGTGCGTAGTGTAAGCCACATGCTCACTTGTTCTCTCTGGTAGTGGGCTGATCTGTATCACTGTTCTCAATTTTTCCAGGTTCTGTGAGGTGCCATTGGACTGTGTTCAGCGATGGGGCAGCCGCGGCGCCCTGTTCGGTGCCTGGATTGGGGCTGTAGCCCTGGTGCTGGACTGGGACCGTCCCTGGCAGCAATGGCCGACACCCTGTGTCGTCGGCTCCCTTCTGTTCCGCGGCCCCGCCCTTATGGCCGCTGGTTGCATCATGGCGAGCCAGTGAAACAATGCTCAGATTCCTTATGGACCACTAGCGGCTCTACTAGTTTGAACTGCCATCCCTTAACCAGCAACCAACTGCTAGTCACGTCTTGGTGAAGCGGCAAGGACATATTTCATAGCCATAGTCTTGTTATCTCATCAGGGTCACCTGTTCATATATTTATAATTGTCTGCTGACCATATCATTATTTGCAGATTGTTACATAACATGTATGTGCAGTAAAGTTGATCTTTCGGCGAGTTGGTGACAGTTCATCTTAACGTGCGAAGCAGTGCACGGAGACAAGACACACAATGAAAATACGACTCTATAGGACCGGCTCCGGACTGGCAGCTGCATTGCTAAAAACTTGTAGGGATTAACGTACATACAAACAATTTGTTTTTTGTGTGTCATGTCTCCGTGCTATGCTTCTGATGTTAAAAAGGGAAGTATGCACAAACAGTGAGATTAATCATTCGTGCTTGAAGACCATATGACCTCACATACTAGTGATAGTCTACAGGCACAATCACAATTGTCACTAAAGCACGTCTTTTTTGTTTTTCCTGAGTACTTAATTTGCGAGTATTCGGTTTTGTTGTGACAATAAATGAAATACATGTGCATGGCTGATTGCAAGTTGTGTTTGTTTCACCTGGCATACTCTATAGCATCATGGCATCCTTATTTGGAGATCTGACATTTTGCAGCGAAAGCGGTTGCGAGATCACAAGCGTCACATGCTCCGTAGTTGTCCGCCGCCACCGGATGTTCGTAGCCACTATCGCACAAAATAAGAAAACGGTAAATAAAAACGCCAAGAAGAAAATTGCATTTGAACCTGGATACCCTGCATGCCAGCCGAGCATTGTAACACAGAGTCACGCCAGGACTTGGAACTCTATGTAAACTGGCCTTAAGCAGGTTTGATATCGAGAAAGGAATCCGGTTAGTACGAGTAGGGGTTTTAGAACAGCAAAGGAACAACCAGGCATCACACAATGCAAATTGCATAACGAGTGGGTCATCGAATTACAAAAAGATTCATGCATAAGCCTTTATCGTCGTCAGTCAGAGCATCCCAAAAACTTGCATGTAATCCCTTGCAAGTGTTTAGCGGATACCACACTTCTCCGAAGAATGGTGAAGAATTATAGTGAATGCTTCCCTACATGAAAATTATGGTGATAAATGGCGTAGTGGGTATTTTGTAAGTGTTCTTGTAGCAGTTACCCAATGAGTGTTTAGGAAAGGCACTGAAAGGCTGCTCTTTCAGCTTTCGCTGTGACAGTGCTGCACATTCCACGCAGACCTGTTTTTTTTCTTTGTCATTTCTGTGAACTAAATTCACAAGGAAGAAACCCCAAATAGTAAGCTAACGGTAAGTTAACCTCTTTTTTTTTTTTTTTAATGTATGTAAGGAGAGGTTGTTGCCTAAAGTTTCTTAAATTACTTCTAGCTGAAGTAAATGCTACACACAGTTGCTTTAGTGAAGGCAGTGCCCTGTGTAACGAGACGGATGTGGGGAATTTCAGCAAGAATTTAAAAACATTTTTTTACCTTTTTAGGAATGCTCGATACCAGCAAATAACAATTGCATGTAATTTGAGTGGGTCATTAACTTTGGTTTAAATATAAAGTAGTCTTTACTGATCATACAATAATTAGATATTCATTTATACTGTGATTGCAATTATTTGCTGTAAAGTTGATTAAAATTTATTCAAACACATCCCTTTGCTTATGGTTTGGTGTTCAGAACTTCGGTATTGGGCGTCACCGTCTATGTGGATTTCTTAAGGTGTGCCATTGGAGCACAGGGAATGGAAATATATGTTTCTGCGAAGGTTGCATTGGCTGGTGCCGAGTGAGGCTTCGGCTCAAAAGCGTATTTTACTGCGCAAATAAAGGTCCTCTGTAACAAAACCTTAGCCGGATCTTTTCAGGCGTATTATATCTTCAAATACAAATCCACTCACCTTGGCTGCATAAACGAATGGCGGAAGAAAGAAGTGGACAACATATAGTGGCAGAAAAATGCCGGCTTTGTCGTCTGCCTGCCAATTTTAACGGCCGTTCGTTACTTCTACACTTCGTAAAATTGTACATCGATGCACAAGTTTCCAATGTTATATAAAACTAGTTTTGGTGCAACGATAAACATAAATAGCTTACTATGTGCTTCTTTAGTAAAAAAACAAACGCATTGAAGCCAGACGTGTCTTCGAGGTGTCCGGGCTATATGTAAATGATACAAATCAGAGTCAAGTTGGTCAAGTTCAAAGCTCACATATCCCGGCATTCCCATGCGTCCAACAGCTCGCAGTGCCACTTTTCCCTCTAGGTGAGTGTAAGAAAGTCTATGGCTTAGCCTTTAAAAAACAGGAACAAGAAAAAAGAAATAGAAATCGGTTGTGACAAGGAAGAGTATAAAAACAGAGAGATGAGGTGCAAACAAACAAAGGAAGAAAGAAGGAGAAAATAATGAGAAACAAAGCAGGCCGCACAGCTCCGCACTTCCATCGATCTTGGCACTTCTAATGCAAAGCTGCCTTCATTAGTCATTGAAACAACTTCATTGCTAATTAAATTTACTAACATTCAGGCTCTCAATTAATTCACCACTTCGCAAAATGAAAGAAAGTGAAGTTCAAGGGAAGGAGGGGGATGTCTACGATGCATGTCAATGTGGGGAGAGGGAGTTGTGGAGTCTGAAAGGCACTGGTCACAGGTTGTACAGGATGGCATGCTGGGATGCCTCGGAATACAGTCAACCATCGTTAACTTGTATTCTTAAATCTTAAAATTTTTGATAAGTCAAACTGTTATTTTGGTATGGTGTCAACTCCATGGGTTTCTCGCCCTTACATTAAAATGCCAAAGCACTGAACTATGGACATCTTGAAACCTGGACAGCAAAAATCTGAAAAAAATACAGTACCTCAATGTCTTTTTGTACCTTGTTGCACAGCTGTGGTATCGCCAATAAGTGAAAGTAGGGCTGGTATTTTGTAACAATACTTTATTGTGCGTTTCATGGCCCCGCCGCGGCGTTCTAGTGGTTATGACGCTCGAGTGCTGACCCGAAAGTCACGGGATCGAATCCCAGCTGCGGTGGCTGCATTCGATGGAGGCGAAAATGTTTTGAGGCCTGTGTGCGTAGATTTAGGTGCACGTTAAAAAACCCCAGGTGGTCGAAATTTCTGGAGCCTTCCACTACGGCGTCTCTCACAATCATATCATGGTTTTGGGACATTAAACCCTAGATATTATAATTATTTGTGCTTTTCACGTTTGGTCAACAGTCTGATCAGCTGGCACACTTAGCTTTCGTGAAAAAACCAGCGGTTACCAGCACTGTATTGGAAAACCACCGCGTTTGCCTCGTCTAGTGTTGATTACGCTCATATTTTAGCGAATTTATCAACCTGGAAACTCCACTTATCTTAAAATATTTTTCAATTTTCACCGCTTTAAGCTAATGGGGCCTTACTGTGCTTTTGAAAACCTGTTGTTCTTTTAATATCTTCCGGAACCTATGCACACATGCTTTCTTGCATTCTCTGTCGTTCTCACAAGTCACCTCTACATTGAGCAGAGCATCACCGCTTGACTTCCACAAAATGCACTTCATGTGAGACGCATGTTCCGTGGCAGTAAAGCGAATGACCTCAATATTGCAAGCAGAAGCAAGATTACCCGTACAATCTTGTGTCTCCAAAGTGCGCTTCTAAAATGAGATGGACCGGGACAAGTGCGTTCTAAATGAAAATTACACACTGTATCGTGTCACAACGATGATCGAAGGTGATGAACAATGAATTGAAACACTATTTCACGTCACTGCCACATAAAAGTCACATCACAGTGGCAAAGTGAATGCAGTCTTTACACACTAAGGAGGTTCACAAATGTCGCACGTCAAAACGAAGCCAGGGAAAAGTCGGCGTGCAGGAACTACCGCAGGCTAGGTGGCCCAGTAATCGAGGCGTAGCTGCAGCTGATGGCACGGATGCTACGCACAGGGCGTTTCGCTAATCAGTTACACTGATAGTTGTGCGTGTTGGTACGGGTTCATGATTATGAAACGGTGCTATGAAAAACATGACTCTGAAGAAGACACTCGTCTTGCTTGCTTTCACCTTACTTCTTGGCTCACATCCACTACAGGGGATTCACTCAACAATATAGTGAAACTAGCACTCAACAATATAGTGGTAAAAATTTTTAAAGAAGCATAAGGAATGAAACTGTTGCCTAGGGTTCAAGCAAAAGTGAATGACTCGTTTATATAAAATAGACATTAGCTATAACACAATTATACAAAGTCCAATCAACTAGGGAGAAGAATCACAGAATTTTGATGATGAATAAAATACTAATTCTCCTTGTGTCACGAAGTAAATCGCAGATTGCAAACCGGACGTTCTGTAGCCATAGCTTAGGCACTTGTCTTCGTGTCTTCTTCGTCATCACGTTTTTGCGTTGCGCGGTTTCTAATCACGCACTTTTCACTATTGTTTAGCGGCAGCATCGCGCTGAAAGCAGTCCGGCGCCGCTGGCGTCAGGGGCTAGCTGGGTTGTTGCGTCACGTTTTGGTCGTTGGGTCCCTGGGAAGGAGGTCTCGAAGGTTGCGTCTTGGGTTTGGGGACCTTGGCTAGGATGGGAGGCAGCTCCTTCTTTTCGTCCATGTTCCTCCAGGTGTCGTAGAGTCCCAGGACCTGCCGCGTGATGTCGAGGATCTTCTCCATGTCGACGTTCAGCTCGGCGAACCAGTGCTTGCAGTCCCGCTGCAGGATGACGCAGGCGACGTGGAGACAGGCCAGGGCGATCTGATGCGGCGGGTGCAGGAGGCAGACGTCGGTCCGCAACGAGTCGTTCACGACTTTCCAGGCCATCGAGAGCAGGCTGTCTTCGGGACCGATGTCGTGGACGTACTGCACCAGCGGCCGGTACGGGTGGTACAGCACGAGGCAGCAGTCCATCATCTCGAGCAGGTAGAATTCGCACTCGAGCACGTGGTTGATGCGGTACGGGAAGTCCTGCGGGAAAGACGTGCGAGAACTTGTTCTTCACCACCGTCTGGCAGGTGGTCACCAGGCGGCTGTTGGAGATGACGCCGAACTCTTCCACTTGGACGCGAGGAAGATGCAAGTGGGCGCCATTAGGAGCGGATCGACGCAGCGCAGCGAGTTGCGGACGTAGAAGCGCTTGAAGTAGACGGTGGCCGTGGCGACGACCTGCTGTTTCACCTTGAGTTGCTCGCCCAGGGCCTGGATGAAGTTGGCGAAGAAGATCATAAGTTTGTGGTACTCCTCCTCGCTCAGCACCTGCAGGTCGCTGTGACGCTCGCGTAACAAGTCCTGGCGGTCCAGCAGCCACTGCTGATACTGCGAGCTTTGCCAAAAGTTTCCCGCCATCACTCTTCTGGCCGACGAGAATCCCCGCGAGCGTCGCGATAGATTGAAGGGGCCTTTCTTGAGCGAAGTTTTTGCCGCGAGTGACAGCCGTCACACCACGCGCGCGAAGCCGACGACAACGGCAGGATGTGCTTATGAAACAAAAACTAACGCCGCAGTTCCATCATTGTTGTAGAGACCGAAACTGGTCTCCGACAACGATGGCGATCCACGTCTACAGCGTTCAATCAATCCAACGCTACTTGCTTAACGCCTGCTCGATACTTGAGAAACCATCTAGTTTAAACGATTTCGCAAGGTCGTTGTATATACAAGGACTAATTGTTTTTCATTATTGCTCGGAATACGGCGATAAAGACTAGGTAGGCGTTCTGTGACTAGGTGGCATCCGAGTCGCGCACTTCGAAAAATTCAGTATGGCCGCTTCCTCTCCTGCAGACCGCTAGTCGAGCGAGTAGATTTGTCTCGTGCTTCGATGATGAAATTATGGTTTCTGCCGAGAATACGAAGAGCAGTTGCGTCAGCGCCATACTATGGTCCTTTATGCTAGCGCTCACGTACGTGGGCAGCCTGTACATTTGGAGGACGAGGGAGAACAGGTGGGCGATGCCGTGGTTTCACTTGTTGGAGTCGAACGCTTGCAGACCGCGACCGGCTTGTCACTTGATCGCTTCGCCTTTTAAGTACTGCGAGATCGACAGCCTCCTTTTACCGATGATAGCCTCAACTTACTGAGAATGTCGCGTTGCCCGGACCCCACGGGTTCGTTCTTGGGACGCACGTAACGCTAAAAAGGTGGGACCCGGCTTTTGCGGTGGTAAGGTCAACAAACGCCTTGCAAATGACCCGGAATCGTTGTTGCGTGTCGTTTCGCGAGACGCGGTCGCGTTCCGCTAGATTTCGCGCGTATTTTGAAAGTGTGCGGTAGAGACGCGATCCTAAAAATTCTTTTCTGTAAAAAATTCGCAGGGATCATCCGGCCACCATAAAGAAGAGGTTCATCAGCGTATTCGCCATAATATGCATATCCCCTCTCTTCGTAGTTTTCGGCGCCGATCTCGGTCATTTCAAGAAGGTACGTAGACTGCTTGAGTGGAGGTACTATTGGTGATGCGCGTTTTCTTGCGTTGCGTTCAACAGAATGCCAGCGTGCCTGCTGTGATGGGTCTTCGCCTTGCTGGGCTGCTACCAGCCATTGTCCTGCCGCTGGCTCTTACCATGGTGAGATTCAATTCAGTTGTTATCACTTCAATCATTATTTGCCATTCAACAATGAAATAATGGAGTAGTAACTGGAAGCTACTACAGTGATTAGCTACTCTAGATAACTGGCTACTTAAGACGACAGCAGTGGACAGTGCGTAACACGTACATCACTACAAAAAAAAAAAAAAAACGTACACACGCAAGGAGGTACGCAAGACAAGAACATGATTTGTTGGTGGTAGACTCTGCAGAAGTGGATTAAAAAGAAGCCTTTCTGTTGAACAGCTTTATTGAGATGAAGCAAATATATTTTAAAAGATGACACTACAGCAAACATATAGCATCTGCACTTTAACATGCTTTTATTTTCCTATAGACCTCTCATACGGTGTATTGCATATAAGATGGGCTTTTACAAATATGAAATATCTTAATTATTGCCGTCATATGCTCAATGAAGATCGTCAATTCAGTTCTTCAGCAAAGGTTGGTGAGAAGGCAATTTTGGTGATGTGATGAAACAGGCCATTCTAGTATGTTTGTTGACAAAAATAAAGGTGTGTACTAGACCGTAGTGCAACAGTGCAGATGAGTTACTTGCAATTGACGCCCCGTGCAATCGGAAACATGTGGTCATAGAAGTGCGACAAGGTGAATGATAAAGCAAGCTGTAATGGAAGTCATGAAAAAAGTAGTAGCAAATCAATGGAGTATTGTGAGGATAACATGTTGAAACAGGACTGTACTTTAAATAGTGATACGCCAGCATGATAAAAGCAGGATGAATGATTTCGATGCTCGAAGGGGGTGATCACTGAATACAGTATTTGTCGTTGAGTGTTTGTATTACAAGGTCGCTGATGAACAGTATTTGTCATCGAGTGTTTGTTTTACAAGGTCGCTGAAAAACCTCTAACTTTGTGACTGTAATGCAGGTGCTTTTCGCGGGCCCGCTTGTACTACACTACTTCGATGGCGTCTGGAGCCTTTACATGGGCAAGTAGCCTATGCCTAGTAGGCATTTTCTCTTATGAAAAATGTCAGCTTGAAGTTAATGATTATGAATAAAGGACTGACGTTGTTGTGGTTCTCAATCTAATTTTTTTATTGTGCCTTTCGTTCACTATTTCAGAGCCGCGCTACTGGTACTTGAATCTGAGGAACCTCATTTGGCTTAGGAACCATATCGTGGTGAGTCGATGTGTACGAGCCCCTTGTAGGCGTGAAGCAGAAACTCGTGGTCAGAAGAAACTTCAAATTGTCGTAAACATAAGCAGCCAACCGTACACTTTGGAAATGGCTTGTATTTTCAAGTGTCTCTTTGTCACTTGGCAGTAGTCATTATAAAGCATGTTTATGTTTTGTTTCATGAAAATTCTACATAGTTTATGCACCGAGTTGCTGTAATAATGCAAGGAGGGGTATGGAAGGTAGCTCATGGTTATCATCGCGAAAAAAGAACATGCCTCAAATATGTCCTTTTTTTTTACATAGCAGCAAAAAAGTGTTAGAGTCACACCTGTCAAGGAGTACTGGCATGAGATTTTTCACTGTTCAAACCCTGTGACAGAAGCAAACATCTGGGATTTGCTTTCCTTGGGGTTTGACTGCGTCAGTGACGTCGCGACCCAGAAAGTGATTGCGTGCGAGCACCGTGCATCCCGAAACTACTTTGACACACTTGGCTGTCCAATACCTTCCTACAACAATCGTCATAATGAGTAGCGGCATCGGAGGCGATTGAGCTGGGCAGGGCGATTGTAAGAACACTGTGGTATCCTGCTTCTGTGTCACCGATGTGTGATGACATCACAGTACAGTACCTTTTTTTGAGAGCTAAACAAACTCTATATAAGTACGCTACAGCAGTGAATGATTTAGTAATGGGTTTCGACAGTGTTTTCAAAGTCTGGAGATCTGGGACCCTTTAATGCAAAAAAGAAAGAGAAAAAATTGGAAATTAAGAATATGTGTGTCCCACCATAGCACTCTTAAACACTTCACCTTTTTAAATGTTTCGTGTTGTCACGCACCGATAATTATGGTCATTGTTACACACGTTTCATTTAAGGGAAGGTGCAAGTAAAAATCAAAGCTTTTTTTTAAATTTTATGTTTTTAGTTTTTTCGTTTTCATTCGTTTTCACAATTTTCAGTTTCTCTACTTTTAGGAAAGAACAAACAAAAAAACTGAAGATCGAAACTAAACATAAAGTAGGGGAAAGTCGCTTTTAAAAGGCACAAGGGGCTACTAAATAGTATGGCCAGCTCATTCTCTAGAGTTCCATGGAAATTGTCACCTGGCTGCTTGCCATTGCATTTTGCATGAGGAGATGATCAAGACCATAAGCTCAAAATAAGCATGATTGCCAAGCTCTCATGATGGAAGAAGGCATCTTAAAAAACATAGCTTTTCTGCGTAGTTGAGCTTTCACTTGAACCTTTAAAATGTGTTTTTTCTCCAGGTCCATTCTTGGACAATTTCTTTAGCTTGGACATCATGTTTTTAGTACTTCTCATAGCTTGATTGGGATGAAATTTTGTCAACATATTTCTTAACATGTGAAGAGTGCAAGTATATTGTTTAAAATTTGATATTGCTTGTATATTGATTATGAACTTAAGGTAAGCAATCAGTATAGTCTGACGGTTCCAAGAGTTCTCTCATTACAATTTTTATTGTCTATTAAAATGCCTTTTTACACTTTTTTAATTTTTATTTGCATTCTAGAGTTATATTGGAGCAAAATTAGCCATGAAAGTTTGACAGCATAAGAAGTTTCTCCAAAACGAACTATGCTCTACACTTTGTCATGGCACAAGACGAAAACTGTTCAGCTTACTATGAAACAAATTGCATATTTGCAATCATCATACGAGCTTACATATACAGTCGAAATTTCATCACTATAGGCTGCAGATTGATGAAACTTTTTTTTTTTTTTCAAATCGCATCTTCCCTTAACACAGCATATAACTTCTTTAGAAATCTCCACGATAGAGGAGTGTTCAAAATGGAAAACTTAGTCATCCCTTAGATATCAGATGGATTTACCACAGACAAGCTTTTGCAGATTACGAATCCGGGGTGAAGTGTACATTCTGGAACACTCGCGTGAATTTCCATTGTAGGGCGGCGTTCACACTGGGGCATTTTACCATCATCTCCTTCATAAGGACGGCAGTGTTGGCATACTGTTGCAGTGGCCACTAGCCAACACTGGTGCAGTACCTTTTGTTCACATACTGAATGTGTGAAGCAGAGAATTTCCATTCGCAGAATACACAAATGATTTTTCACGTATTAGTAAGTTAAAAATCCACAATACGGAAAACTCTTAACCCTCGAAGACGCTTGGCAAGTGAAATTGCAACCACTTTAACAGTTTATCTTGCATTAACGCCATGATAAGCTACTTGGCGGTGTTTCAATTTAATGTGACGTTCTATTGGGATGTGAGGACGTGGGGGGTTTGTAGCCATCTTCGCAAACCATCAGCGTGGGATTAGAAAAAGCCAGGCACAAAGCAGGCTGATTTTTTTATTCTGCTTTCCGAACACTGAGGTTTCAATTCAATCAAATTCTTCCAGATACCTTTCTATATTCGTTTTATTGGAGGGAAGAGTGTCTTCGTCCGTTCTGGGCTTGTTCTTTGCCTGGCAAACGAATAAACAATTGACCGGACTGCTTTTTCCGGTTGCTGTTCTCCCGTATGGCTGTCAAAAATGCCTGACCAATCCCTTGCAGCATGATAGAACTTCTATCACAGAACATGTGCATGACTGCATCCCAGCAATACTTGCATATCGTACTACTTCAACAATATGATGAATAGTTGTAAAGCATTTTGTACCCATGTAAACACAAGATTACAGCCTAAAAATAGGAACCCCATTTAGTAATGCCAGTCTCTTTCATGCCTTGGCACAAGAAAACATTAAAAGTTGCCAATGAAACTTGCTTAGGCGTTTCAGGTGCAGTCTGCTTACCAGATAAATTGGCTAGCGTAAAGTGCAAGTATTCTTGGCGGTTGTAGTCAGCGTTTTGCAACACTATCACCCCCCATTTTTCAGCTGTCATGATGCCAGCACAGTGTGGACTTCCATATTCTTGGAGGGTCCACTGTGTTATCTGTTCGCTGTGAGGGGTTTGATTTGTACTGTTTGATACATTTTTTTCGTGCACTGCAAACATGCTAAACAAGAGTGTGCGTGAGCCTTACTGTGTATGTTTTCTTTTTTTATTTTCAGGCACCATTGTCTGAAGAGTTCACGTTTCGTGCCTGCATGCTTCCCATACTGGTGCCTTGCCTGGGCCACCGAGCTGCTGTTGTTATCTGTCCGCTCTTCTTTGGTGTTGGTGAGTTCCTCTGACACAGCAGTCGTGGGTGTTCCGGCTGAGTGCATTTGTTTGGATTAAGGTGGGATTGACATACACGGTGTCAGATGTGGGCAGGTTACTAAAGAAAAAAGCGCGGCTGACGCCTCTTTCTAGGAATCGGTATAGGTAGTTGAGTGTTTATTGTGTATTGTTTGCCCATAATGGCTAAAAAATGAATGATACAGCAACAAATTGCAATGTCGCGCAAAGAACGACAATCAGCTTGGAACTTACAGTGCGCACCTCAAGCAGGAAGCACGTACAAAATGAGCGTATACAGGTCCCGGGTGGCTGACAACTGTCACAGCTTGACACCTAAAGAGCACTGTGCAAGCAGAAAGACGCACCAAACGAACACACGAGTATACACCAGACAAGTGTGCGAACAGCTGTCGCAATTCTTACTTCTTCGTGTATGCACAACATGCTGGTTTCATAAATGTGGTCATAGCAGTGAGTGAAGTGACCTTCATGCTCTCCTGAATCACGAGTCTGATAAGCGCACGCAGGAGAGACTGCGCTCTGTGCAGGCGGCGCTCAGCGAAATGCTAGAGGCTAGAGGCGACGACCTGGAGAGCGCGCTTGACGCGAGACCTTCGCACCATCTTGCTACTGATGACAAAAATGTGCCGAAGGTACAGAGCTCTGAGGATTGCCAAGCGTGATGCGATGTATATAAATGGCTTGCCATTAGCATCCTCAACGTGTGCTCTGTGGCCTAGTGGTTAGTGCCGCGCGCTGCTGATTGAAAAGTCGACATAATATTTTCTTCTCGTTTTTTCTTCACTATCTGTTAGCATATATTTTGCAACGTCATATCTGTCTTGGAATAATGTCAATGGAGCTGTGGTGGACCCCCGTTACAAAACAGTGTCGTGTTAAAAAAAAAAACGTGGTTACAGCGTATTGTTACCTCTAACATGAAATGAAACAAGACAGAAGTTAGGAAATCACTGAGGCTCTAAGTGAGGAGAAATTAGCTTATTGTACTGTAATCTGTTGTGAATGCTGTTGAATTTTTCTAACGTGCTGCATTGTTAATTTTGTTGCATAGTATATTTCTCTGTTGTTGGTCACTTGCATTGTAACCCTGTTACTCAATGCTTTAGGGCCCGTGAGATCAACTAATAAGTTGCTGAACAGGGAATATCCTTACAGTCAGCATCTGAACAAGGAGACTTATATTTGTCCCGCAGAAGACAATAGCTCTTGTCGAAATGTCGGTGCCAGCGACATTTTTTGTGCAGCTGTTTCTCACCACAGAAGCGGAGAACCAACCCACTTGCAGTCAGATGCCGACACTGGAATTCGGGAGGTAGAGAGGGGGTTCGACCAAGATAGTGAATGCTATTGGTGGTGATGTCAACATGAGTTTTCAATGTCGGAAAGCTAGAAGTCTGTTGACATCTCGACAAGTATTCTAACAAAATAACTACGACTGGATCGGAAGCAGCACTTCAGGAGTTTGTTAGCTGCTGTACGCTGGCGATGTTGTTCAAACTTCAAGCATGTTGAGGGCAGCACGTTTGCACAGTTCCCATGAACTTATATCTCTGAGATCCCTGAACCAGGGCTTTTGACTAGGGGGAGTTGAGGGGGTTCAGACACACCCCCAAAACCCCAAAATTTTTTTTATGTTTTAAAATTTTGGGCGATACTAAAATATTTACAGCCTTCTCATCGACCACCAGTTTCCGAAGTTGACTGCCTTTGTGGCAAAGCTGCGACTTTTTACAGTTGCTGCTGACAACTAAATTACTGTTTGAACATTAATCAAATTGTCACAGACACAAAGAGTATGTCCTGTTTTGGTTTAGAGCCATGATAAGAGATATGGCAGCCTTTTTTCAGTAAATACTCATATCAGCTTTAGCCGACTATATTCTTTCTCCAGATATTTCTTTTTGTCTGTGAAGCACCAGTACTTGTTAGTCTCGTCCATATTCATTTTAGTAATCTTAACTCAGTAATGTTGCCATTACTATGTAAAAGGTAGCAGCATCACAAACTTACCATTTGAAGTTACACAAGTGAAAAATTTACGCAAGTGAAAATTCACATAAGTGAAGTTACACAAGGGGAAAGTTAGCTGAAAAAGTAAATGGTTACTGTTGAACCTCTTACTAGTAACTAGTTACTGTTCAGGGCTACTTGGTAGTGATAGAACTGAATGTTCCTAATTTTGCCTTTCAGCTCATTTCCATCATCTCACTGAGAGACTCTCTAGGACAAGCAATGTAAAAATGGCCATCATGCAGTCTGGTGAGTAACAACATTTCCTACATCAGGGATTCGCTACTAGCATTGCGGCATGATTTTTCACGTTTACGGCACTGTGTCACATTTACGTTGCTGGAAGCCAAGAAACAATCAAGTCTATCTTCACTGCTTGCACGCTTCTGGTTTTAGTCATTCCATTTCCCATACATGACAGGCGATCTGAGATTTCCTCTGAAATGAAAATCAATTTTTGAAAATCAATTTTCGTTGCATGCTTAAACCGTGCCTAAAACGCCTACTGCGATTACAGTTGAGTGCCATAATTATTTGTTTGCAAATAAGCGAAGGGCCCGTTACACTGTAAGGGAACACGGGAACCTACTCAGCTGCTCACGTTGTTGACCCTTTTGCTGTTGTTGATCATTGTATATGAGTAAGTGCTTGTAATGGGTGGGCCTTTTGTTGTGCACACATTCATAATGCCAGCTCCAGCATGGCTCTTTCAAGCCCAACCTCCAATACTCCTAATTTACACAAACTTATCGCTAGGCACCTGATAATTGATTGCAGCAAAAATGTTATAAAAAGCTTGATTTGTGTGTACAATTCAATTGTACATAACTACATATTTATCTTGAATTATTCCCGGTTTGTTCCTGCGAAATGGATTCAAATCTCAGGCTAGAAAAATATTGCAATTTTATTTTTGGTTATATTCATTACGAGCAAAAAAATCATACATTTAGCATGTCTCACAAAAAGCAGCTTGCAAATTGACTGAATGAGCTCGGAAATGCTTTCAAAAAAGCAATCTCATGAAACAGTACACTGCACAATGGAAGTAAATGAAGGCAGCTTTATTACGCGGGAGCTTCAATTCATCCAGATCTGAGTTTATCTTCCTCTTTCACAGCCACTAGTGGACAGGAGGATAACATGGAAGATAATGTAACTCGAGAAAAATTCAAGCAATCACGCAGCACCCATAAGGGTGGGTATAACATTGAGAGATCGGAAGATAGCAGGATGTGTCAGACAACAAACTGGGGTAGCTGATATTTTAGTTGATATCAAGCAAAAAAATAGACCTAAGCCGGCCACGTAATGCATAGCACAGACAACTGGTGGCCACTCGCAGAAATGCAACAGGTGACAAGTGAAAGGAGCCAAGGGTTGCTGCAAGTCAGATGGAGTGACGAAGGTAACAGTGATAAAATGGGATCGTCTTATGAGAGATAGGTTAAATTTGAAGTCACTGGGTCATTCTAGAGCTGACATAAAAAAAAAAAAACTTCGAAGACGCTTGAGCTTCGCCTTCGAGAGCAGAACGTGATACATAATTGGGCCCCATCAGCGACGCCTTCTCAATTTGAAACACTAACTTAGATTTTCGTTGCATGTCTACACCGTGCCTGAAATGCCTACTGTGAGTAAAGTTGTACAGTGCCATAATTGTTTGTCTGCAAATAAGCAAAGTGACCACAACACATCTGTAAGGAACGTGTGAACCTACACAGCTGCTCACTTTGTCGATGCTTTTACTGAAGATCACGAAATATGTGTGAGTGCTTGCGATGGGTGGGCCTTTTGTCGCCCAATTCCGATATTTTGTCTCCTGGCGTGGTTTGGCACTTCTGCCACAAAATATTACATGCCTTTAAGCGACTCCTCCCTCTGCATGACACTCTGAAGCAGTTTAAAGCAATGGTGTCGCTCTGTGGTAGGACACCCGCTTGCCACGCGGTAGGCATGCATCTGATTTTCACTCGAACTGAAAATTTTCATTATTTATTTTGTTTTCGTCTTTCTCAGTTTTTCAGTCACCGACAACGCTGATTCTTTGCTCACAACCGCTGACGCCGTAGTTTCAGCTAAACGGTTCCTTTCACGCAGTTGTGTTAAAACGGGCTCATAATGATGATGATGATGGGCTGCGGTCACTAGTTCATTCGGGTAGTGGATTGTGATTGCGAAACCAATAAACTAAGCTTGTGCATGCACTTCATCTGCAGATTACACACTTGGAAAGTATTCTGATGCTTTATTTAACAGTCGTGTTATTTTTTTTTTTTCAGTTTTCCAGTTCGCTTATACAACAATTTTTGGTGCCTACTCTGTCTATCTATTTCTCAGAACAGGTTGGTACTTATTTCTTATTCTAGTGTTACAGCTTTATTTTCAGAAAATCGATGGTCTAAAGTGTGCAGCTTCTTATAATTGCCTAGAAATAAGACTTACATTAACATGCTGTTGGCGTAAACACAGTTAGTATTAACGCCTTACACACAAGCTGGAAGATTCGTAAACTTTCTGCTATTCCAATTGCCACTTTTTTGTTAGAGTAAAATTGGGTGAAAGCAAGGTTTATTTGCTGTGCATCAATTTTTATATTTCTATTTTCTTTCGTTATTTGTTCAAAATAGAATGGTGAAGCTTTGATGAAACATCTTGCTTATACAAAATCGAATGTTACTTTAATCATTGTTTAAGCAAATGAGACAACAAATAAAGTTGGAGAAAATTCCCCCGTCACTGACTAGTAAGCCAAGCTGCAAAAGAAGCGTTGCCATTTTCAAAGAAGTTTTAAGCGTGATAGCTTTGCATGCTTGCTTTTTATGTAGCCGCTGACTCCGTAAATGCAAAGCTTTCATTCCTAGCACCACATGTAACTATAATTGCAACAATTGTGTGTCCTATTAAGATAGAATGTGACTAGGCTAGTGCAAATAGTGAATTTTAGGTTCGAAATGAATAGTGATCTTGATAGAATTATTTCGAATCGAATTCAAATTATATGTATGATATATAAAAGAAAGGGAATATTTATCAGGACCTAACTAACCTGCACAACATTTCTTTTGAATTGAAATAGGGGACTCTAAGAAAATGCCATTTTTTTTTTCATTCAAAGGAAGTCGAGACAACCTTGAGTTGTAGTTTCGGTAGGATGCAAATGATAACCTGTAAGATACTCGAAGTTTTAAAGTTTATTATACTTGGACCATATAAGCCGTCATAACAGCTTAATAAAATGAAGAATTGATTTAAGGGTAACATGTTCCTTTAAAGGGGCCCTACAACACTTTTTCAAAGTAGCCATGGAGTCAGTAAACATGCCTTGTTGCCTCACAAATTTACCGCCGCAAAGTTTCTGGAATCAGTCCAGTACGAGCGGAATTCCAAAAATTTGCTGCACGCTGCAATTACATTCTCTCTTCTCATCCTAACGAAATAGCTGGAAGCTAAGCAGGGAACAATGGCATGGCGAAAGAAAATACGTCACACCCACCTCGCGACCTTGAGCACCTCTTTTTTTTTTTCTTCGAATACGTGGCTTTTCAGTGCGATTGCGCACATACTTGTGGACAAGTGGCGGCCCCAGTAACGACCAGCGCGCCATACACAAATCAGCCTATTGCTGTGACCAGAGCCGTATATTCCTTCTGGGCTGTGGCAAGTGATTTTTGAGCTTGTAGTGTCAGTTTGCCGAGGTAAAAAAGCAATTTTTAGCTTTGAAAATTTATTGTGAATTACAGGCCGCGTGCTGTACTACAATGTTTGCCTCGCGTGTTATCAGTAGCCTCGACTACCAATTGGCAGTGTTTTCTGACCATGTTCAGTAAGTGTTGCAGGGTCCCTTTAAATTTGAAGAACTCGAAGCCAATTCGAATACTCAACTATTCGTTCAAATATTCAAAGCATTGGAATATTCGCACAAGCCAAAGAATGTCAACTGCAGTGTTGCTTTGGATGTGGTAAAAGCAGGCTTTTGCAAATATGAATGCATTCGAATTTCCTTTGCTTTAGATCTAAGTTGTTAGAAATTTCGAAGTATTCGAAAATGAACGAGTAGGTGTAGTATATTAATCTGCATGTGGGACTATGCAATGTGGGACTATATGGTTTTGAGCTGTAACATAATAACTGTTCAGGTCTATGTCCCAAAATCATGATATGGTTACAAGGGACGCCGTAACAAAGGGCTCCGAAAATGTTGAGCATTGGCTTCTTTGACGTGCAGCTAAATCTAAGTACACAGGCCTCAGGCATTTCGAATCTGTCAAAATACGGCAATCATGGCTGTAGGGTTTGATGTCGCGACTTTCATGTCAGCTGTAGAGAACCATTGCCACTAGACCAACTGTGGCATGCTTTGCAACAAGATGGCGACTTGAACTAGTTGGTAGACATTCATGTTTGAAAATTAGTTATAAGTGCACTGAAGACGAATACAATGGAAGTGAACGGGACAGTGCTTACACACGCAACTGCGATCCTTATTAGTCAGAAAGAAACATATATAAAGCAGAGACATGAAACTTTGCACATGCGTAACAGGGTACAATGCAACAACAACAACAAAAAACATGTCAGAATTACGACAATTTTTTGTTTACATTGGTTATCATTTATTAACCTAGCATAGTCATTACGTGTTTAGAAGCTGGCTTGTACCATTGAGTTCTAAAAACAATGAGCTGTTTCCTAGCATATATGCAGTACTTCATACACCCAAATGAGCAAGACAAAGCAGCATTTAGATGCCGAGTTGGTGCCTGGATCTTTCTCCTTGGTTGGGGAGTAGTGAGGTGAGACAGGCATGCAGAGGCACGTCTGAACAACCCCTGTTGATGTAGCCCCAGCTCGACCCAGAGCTTTGTCCTTTTGTCGGCTGTTACACGGACCTTTCTTGTGCCACCGAGTATTTCATCACCCCACACTTTGGTACCTGCGGTTCAGTTGCGGCGTACAATACATCTCGAGCACCTTAAAGAAACTGATTTGCCAATCACATGTGCACTCCAGGTTTAGTTAAAATACGTATAGCACTGCGCTTTGTCGCCTACAACTTCTTCGAGGGAAGACTGTTGCGACTCTCGCGTTTCGGTGGTCAGTCTCGTTCGCAGAAAACCCATTTGCCAGTTGGAGTAAATAAATGTGGCCCTCGAAGGTGCACCAGTCACACGCATATTTGTATGCATCGTTTGCCAATAGTTTACGCTGTTCCAGTCTGGGCTTGGCTGCAGTCGGCCATTTCTGACACGGCAATCCGATCATATATCAAAGTCACTGGTCATTTCACATTGCCACATCTTATTGTTGCATGAATGTGAATGTATAATCGTCACTGTTGCCTGTAGAAGCTAAGTGTTTAAGGACATGAATGAAGGTCCGATTCCCAGCATGGATGAAGGAAATAGTACAGAGCATTGCGATAGAAAGAAAAACAGTCCATCGGACTTGCACACAGTAAGCTTCATTTGCCCCCATTCTCTATATAGGGCAAGGGTCTCCTCAATTCTTTCTTTGAATTCATCGCACACACGTGGTGTAGCTGCAATACCCTGTCATGCCCCTCAACCTTCTTACTTTGATCTTAGTAGCAATCCTAGTACACTGAAACCTCATAACAAATTTACATCTTACACAAAAGTTGGTTATATCCGAAAGATCATTATAAAGGTACATTTATAACACTATCTATGGCAAGACTATTCTTCACTCACTTCATTATGACCAATATTTCGTTATATCCAGGATCATTATATAGTGGTTTGAGTGCACACTTCTTTCCTTTTTCTCTTCTTTCTATCGAGAAAGTTCTTTGGTGACAGACTCGCTTCGTGTCGCTATTGTGTCCTCGTTCGCAGGTCACTTTGTGGCGCCATTTGTGGCCCACGCCTTCTGCAATCACATGGGGTTCCCCGACGTCTCCGAGGTGTTCGGCTACAAGCAGCCACGACTCACCCTGCTCTTGCTGGCGTTCTTGCTCGGGCTGCTGTCCTGGGCGTCGCTGTTGGAACCCATGACTCGGCCGCAGATCTACTCAAATGATTTGTACTACCAGTCCTTATGACGCGCGCTCGCTACGACTCCAATGTTGCGTTCGGATCAAGAGGTGTTCTCTTTCTTGTCAAGGTCTCCTGCCTGCTGCCCTACGCTCATTTGTGAACCATCATGTTAGCCATTTGTCACAAAAAAAAAAAAGGCTGCTGACCCGCAGGTCGCTGGATCGAATCCCGGCTGCAGTGGCTGCATTTTCATGGAGGCGAAAATGCTGTAGGCACGTGTGCTCAGATTCGGGAGCACGTTAAGGAACCGTAGGTGGTTGAAATTCCTGGAGCCCTCCACTACGGCATCTTACATAATCATATGGTGGTTTTGGGACGTTAAACCCCACATATCTATCAATCAAGTCACCGGAAAAAAGGGAGGGGGGGGGGGGGAGGCAGAGCTTTGCTTCAAGCAATGCCACTTAGAACAGTGAATGAAGCAGAACTGCCGCCATAGCCTGCCAGAGATTCATTGTTATGCTGGACGAACTCTACATAGGATTTGCTTGTTGTAGTTACCTTGCTTCGGGATTCTTGTTCCCGCTATTTGCATTTCTTAATGTGAAGAAATTTTTATTCAGAACTATAGTGATGAATACCAAGCAGGACTACATTGTTTTTCTCTTAAAATTGTGTACCAGTAACTTGATTTCATGCGCTTTCAAATTTTCATTGAAAGCTTCTTTCTTTCAAATTGCAGTAGAAAAGTATGGCTGACAGTGCCATTCCTGTTTTCTGTAGGTTACCTTCTTCAAGAATCAACAGTAATGCGATAGCATTAAAGAACTTATGTTGCAGGAATTCCAGTGTCAGCATCGTTGCTTGCGAGCAAAAAATTAACGTCTGTTAGCGAGAAATCGCAATGGATGCAGATGGTAAAACTATGTCTCTGAGCCAGAAACTGAGGCATGCCTTTCACATGGCAAAAGTGTTCCACTATAGCGTTCTACCACGGAATCGGGTGTTCCGATAGAGAAGTGTTCTACCACAGGGTGTTGTACTGCAGAGTTGTGTCAGTGCTTGTAACTTAAGCCGCAAAAAACACGTGGGTGTTACATAGCGTAAGGTGTCACACCAACGCATACACTCAAATCTCATTATAACAAAGTTGCATGTTACTGCAAAATAAGTTCGTTATGTCCGAAAATTTGTTATAAAAGTATATTTCTCCCACTATATTTATTGTAAGAGTATTCTTAAGTTTCTGCATTATATCTGGGTTCGTTATATTGAATTTCGAGTGCATAATATTGCATGACAGAAGCATATAAACACACCACATGCCACACCATCTGCATTGCATAACAAGTGGGTGGTTCAAAGACCCACCTATTACAAAGTGCTCAGGTTTAATCATCGTCGATTTTTTGCTATTTCACAAAAGGATAAATTATGGTGTGGTGGGCATTTTGTAAGTGTACTTGCAGTACACATTATAGGAGATTGTAAGACCACCAGTGGTGTGTGCGCAGACGTTTCTTTCTTTGCGGCACGGTTGATGTGCCCATCAAAAGGCGAAGCACGGCAAGTGATGGAGAAGGCAGTGCAAACGAAAACCGATTATGCTTTCGCGTTTTGCTATCGAAAGCAAAGTTTGAGTGTCCTTTGAGTTTTTGCACGGCTGTTATACACACGCACACAACGCAGCATTTTTATTGCTTATACTTCTTGGTTTCTGTACGCCATGTAAGCTATTGTACGCTGCGCTTGACAAGAGTTGGTGATAGGCCCCATTAGCACCCAGACACGTTTGTTACGCTTGTCCGAGTGTGGATTTTGTTCGATCGCCTCGAGTTGTTGTAGGTTCGCTAACTTCAGGCAATGCTGCGGCTTCATCGTGTTCTAGGTGCTGTTGCTTTTACGCACTAACATGGTTGTGGTTTTAGAATGAAGTCTTTAGGGGAAAGTGCAATGGAGAAGGCATTATATAGTAATGTCAGTTTGTTGTAGCTTGGCGACATGCTTCACAAGACGTCACAGACCTCCGTGCGAGATGAAAAAGGAAAGGCATTAGAAACTACGAACAGGACAATAATTGGCGACTCATCAGCTGCATTGTAACTTCAGGAACCAAACGCAATTTACACGTACTACAATTCAGTCTTTCTCATAGAGTTACATTACTCGTACCATGCCACAATTTCATATCCTGCTTTCTTTTGCACATATTTTTTGACGATGCGATTATTGTAAGACGTAATCTGCATTCATTACGTTGCTTCAAACAGACATATATATACACACACATACACACTTGCAATGGGTAAACACATATGCTAATTTTTGGGGGCATTAACCGCATCTCTGCTGTTGACTACATTGACGGCTTGCTTTGTTGCAGTTTGCCGATTCCTGGACGTTTGTTATCGACTTGTTTATGTACATGACGACACTGTTGGTTAACATATATTTTACTTACGTGTGCTCATTAACGACATTAAGGGCTCATTGCCTTGTCATTGATCTGTTGATGAGTTCACAAAGAAAGGAGCTTAGAAGGTGCACACACAGTTGTACATGTCATTCGTGTTGTTCAAAAGAGACTCTAAAGAACACTCGTAGTTAGAACTTGTTTTCGATACCTGTTATTGCTTTGGCAGCCCAGTGTGACTAGGTTGTAGACTTTTTCCCGCTGCGAAGTAAATGTTGGATGGTGCACAGAAGTAAGTGAACTGATTGTGCCTTATTGGCACGAAGGAATCACGCAGGAATGTCCATTAGTTGTGTGTTAAACTCGTAAACTTCGACATATACGAGTAGTTTTTGCCAGCTCTTTTCTTCTTGTTATTGTAGGGTGGACTCTATTGTTTGGAAGTTAAAGCATGTTTTGGGTGCTGTGTTTGTAAAGAAGAGCTCTCAAAGCGTACTGCCAGAGTTTTTATATCTTTCTGAAAAACTTTACCGTGAGAACATAGTGCCACAAATACTGAAATAACAAACTGTTCGGAACGCTAGTGGAGGCCCATGTTTCCTTTTTTTCCCTTCAGTGAAATATTTTGATCATTATTACTGCACAAAACATGTGCAAATCACATCTAATAGCAGCACAAAATATGTGACATTCTGACATTGCACGATGTTTCAGTCTGGCCTTTGGGCATGCACGCAGATGTTGTTTGCAAAGTGTGAAGTGGTGTGTGATAACTTATACATTGTCTACTTCTGAATATTTAATAAGCGGTTGTGTTATTGCTCAAGATGAGCTTGATGAGTGTGTATCTTTCATCTTTCTCTGAGGTTTTTTTTAGCACTGTGAACATTCAAACTTTGCTGTGAAGGAAGCCACTTTTTTTACTCTAAGGAAATGTTAAGCGTTGATGTTGAGACTTGAGTTATTACAGCTGCTGCCTTTGAGACAGGTACCTGTATAAACGTGCAAGATTAATAGTAATGTTCACTGGCCGGATTTCCTGAAGCGAAATGTACCACAGGTACATGATAGCATTGGCAGATGCCATTGCTACAGGTACGGTAGAGCTCTGCTTGTATATTTTTGCTTACACCTTTTCCCACATGTATAGTTCTTGTGCCCAGTCTCAGCAAAGAATGTACTGACAACTATGTGTTAGAATCCCCTTTGCCCATGTCATTCGCGTAATGTTTCTGCCTGATGCGTTGCCAACTGTTGTCGCACTGCATGTGATGAAGAGGTAGATCACTGAGCTTTGCGGTGTAGACTGCTACCAAACCATCCGAGTGCTTGAAAAGGGTGTGGTTCTGGAACAGCCGCAGAAGAATGCTAGACTTCCATCAAGGACTTCCTTAAAGGTACACCAAAGTGAAAGAATGAATTATTTTAAATTTATAAACTGTACTAAAACTCTGCTGTCATTCATTACACTGATGTTTATTATGTTTATTAATGGAGAAGAAAATCAAGGTGGAAGTTTTATTTTGAATCCCACTACTGAAAATTTCATGCTTGTCGGGACGAATTTCGAGCTGCATTTTTCGCATTTTGCTAACATTGGCTCAACGAAATTTCCTGAAACTTGGTATGCTAAGTTAATGGCCTCCTCAGATGACATGTACTTAATTTTTACCCAGCAGAAACTATGCACGTCGTGGTAAATGTCATCGAAATCTTTGACTTTATGGGGCTTAGTTTGGCGTCGTACGTCAAAGTGGCGTTGTGACCGGTATTTTCTTCACGAGTGTTATGTCGTTGCAAGTGTGGTGATTTGGGTGTTGCGAAAGAGTAGTTTACTAATGCAAGAAAAAGAATTTTTCTCTTCAGTGTTCCTTTATACCACAGAAAAATAGATAGATTCTTGTGAGGTAGGACTGTGGGCAATGCATCTATAATATTATTTATCAGCACTTTTTTTCCCATTTTAACCACATGTTTGCATTGTACGTTATGTGGATACTGTTACTTTTTTTTTTTTTGGAAATCCCATGAAAGGGGGGTCATTTGCCATTTCGCTGCTGTATTTTTATCACCATAGAATGCCTCTAAATTGCACTATTAGCATTGAAAATGGTGAAAGGCAAACAAAGTGCATACGTCCATGCTCAGTCGTATATTTTCATGCACCGTACGGCCTGTGCCACAGAGCTTCCTAAAGTTACCTAAAGACACTCTGGTGCTGTGATCGTTCGGCTGACCGTGGGAATGATAGGTAGTTCATAGATTTGCCTAGTCTTCGTAATTGTGGGCCTCAAATCGCACTTGTGGTTTCGTTTACCTGCTGCGTTTCAGTTTCATTTCGAAGGAAAGAATAAACCCTTTTGAACTTCGCGACTGATATTGAATGGTAAGCCCAACAGACTTAAGGTGGTGAAGCGCAACTGCTAAGCATTTGCTAATTTTTATTTCGTGACAAGACAGCTTCAAGCCACGCGAACCGAAACGAAGCCAGAGGTACGAAGAGTAGGCAAATCCGTGTACTACCCTATCATTCCCGTGCTTGCTGAAGCGCCAGTGCTTTGCAGCTCCCATAGACACTAGCGCCAGAGTTCCCCCTAGTGTATATCAGGAAACTTCATGGCCTGTGCTAACTTCACACCTTGCTAGTACCTCTATGGACAGGGATTTTTGTAGGTCATGCTGGTGCTAACGTGACCTCAATAGAAACGCGTTTTTAAGGCTAGTCATATAACAGCTGTGCTCAGTCGTAAAAGCCATTTTCTATCATTGTGA